TCTGTTTTCTTTAAAAAAAATAGCATTGGTTAAGTATATGTGCAGGCTGAAGTAATGTATTTCTTTGAACTGTTCTACTCTTTTTTATGTGTGTGTGTGTGTGTGTGTGTGTGTGTGTGTGTGTGTGTGTGTGCGTGTGTGTGTGGTGTGTATGGTGTGTGGTATATACCTGTACATATGATTCTGTGTGTAGGAGTGTGTGCCTTTATGTGTGCATGCATTTGGAGGCTAGAGGTTGATGCTAGGTGTCTTCTAGCACTCTCCACCTTTTAAAATATTTTATTTATTATTACTTTTATTTAATGTGTATGGATGTATTGCCTGCATGTACGCAAGTATACTACATGTGTGAAATGCCCAGAGAGGCCAGAGAGGGTATTGGATTCCCCTGGAACTGGAGTTATGGACAGTTGTTAGCCACCATGTGGGTATTGGGATTTGAACCTGGGTCCTCTGCAAGAGCAGTCAGTGCTCTTAACCACTGAGCCATCTCTCCAGCTCCACTTTCTACCTTTTAAAAACATTTAATTTTATTTAAAAGAAAATTTTGAGACAGGGTCTCACTATTTAGCTCAACTGGTCTCATCTAGAACTCACTATGTAGACCAGGCTGGCCTTGAACTCATAGAGATCCTCCTGCCTCTACCTCCTGAGTGCTGGGATTAAAGATGAGTGCTGCCATGCACAGTTTCCACTTTATTTTTTGAGACACGGTCTCTCACTGAGCTATGGGCTTACCAATTTGGCAAGACTAGTTTACCAGTAAGCTCTTGGGATCCTCCTGTCTGTGCCTTCCCAGCAGTAGGACTATAGGTACATACTACCACATCTGTTTTGGTTTTTGTTTGTGTTTTCAATGTGAGTACTATGGATCCAAACTCAGGCCTTCATGCTTGCACAGTAGGTACTTTACTAGCCCAGACATTTCCAACCCCTTAACTATTCACTTGTATTAGAGCCCCCATATAATAGATGTGGCGGTTCTGTGACCAAATGGAAGGTGTGACCAGAATCCTGTTGGTCAATCTCTGTTTTTTACCAGATCTACCAGACTCACCTGACAGGGTGATGCACCCTGTGAGAAGGCAGTTTGAGGGACAGCCTGCCTGCCATCCAGTTCACCTGTGTTTTCCATATGATATCTAGCAATTACCAGACTCACCTTATTTCATTTAAAATAATTTTAAGTTCACCCACATTGCTGCAAGTGGCAGAATTCCATGTTGAGATTGAGTAGGACACATTTACCACATTCCCCTCTGTGGGTGTGTATCCATTCAGTGTCGACAGGCAGGTTGATTTTACCCCTTGGCTATAGTGTATACCGCTGAATGACCACAGGAGTGCAGACACACAGAAACCACGACCGTGGTACAGTCCCTTACGTAAATGCATTGACTATTGACTAATACTGCTCTGTGACAAAGGTAAAAATTAAATGGAAGCTAATTTCTTTTAAAAAGATTTATTTCTATTTTTTATTATGAGTACGCATGGGTGTCTGTGTGGGTATGGATGTACATGTGAGTGCAGGTTCCCACAGGGGCCAGAAGAGGGCGTCCAATCCCCAGGAGCTGGACCTATAGGCAACTGTGAACTGCCTAACATGGGTGCTGGGAACCAAATTTGGATATTCTGACAGAGTAATACTCACTCTTAAGCACTGAGCCATCTCTCCATCTTTAAGGCTAATTTCTACAGAGAAGAGGAAACAACTACTCATTTATTGGTCCTGTTTATATCCCCACTATGAAAGGATCATTTTACAATACAGGGAAAACCTTAAGCTAGACTAAGAAAACAGATTGAAAGCAAAGTTTATACTTGAAGTGAGAGATGAAGTTCAAGTCCATGATCATTGCTCTGTAGACAGTGATGCTCTCAGTAAAGGCAGGAACATTAGCACAGGGGAGTGACTAGAAATGACAAGCAAGTAGAAGAGACATGGTAAGCAAATATGCCAATCTCTCTCCCTGTGTCCTCACAGTACTCGTTTAATTCTAGCCCCCAGTGAAGTGTCAGTCTGCACCAGTGATCTCTGCTGCAAGGCTGCCTTGATTCGACCGCCTCGGGCACTGTCCCTATGCCACGTGCCTATGAGTCGCTTCTCTTTGGGCCCTGCTCTTTAGGCTAAATGTAACCTTAGTCCAACTTGATCCTGGGCCTTAGAGTTTCAATCAGAACAGTGGACTGGGGGACAGAGACCAATAAAGAAGCCTAGACTACTTGATTGATTTACATTAAAACCCCAGATTCATGAAGGAGAAACCCAAAATCTGGAAGGTAAGGAATAGATAAGAATAAGAGGGCACTAGGCTTCAGAAAAACTCCGTGTGTGTGTGTGTGTGTGTGTGTGTGTGTGTGTGTACGTGCGTGTGTGTGTTTGTGTGTGTCTGTATCTGTGTCTGTATGTATAAATCTTCCTTTTTTTGAGGAAGGGAGTGATCAAGTTTATAGTGGGATAGGGGTCCTGAGGAGACAGAACGAGATACTTCAGAAAATCTGCTGGAAGGCTGAGACAGAGCTCCATCACTGGCATTTCTGAAGGACCACACAACGGGCAGGCATTGCTTTTAAGTTCCTTTTGAAATTGAGTACGTCTTTTATTTTTAAAATAATTTTTAAAACTTCATTTTATGTGTATGAGTGCTATGCCTGCATGCATGTAAGTGCATCCCTGTCATGCAGTGGCTGCGGAGGATGAAAGAGGGCATCAAATTTCCCTGGAACTGGAGTTACGGTTTGTTAGCTGCCATGTGGATGCTGGGATTTGAACCTGGGTCTTCTGCCAGAACAGCCATGGAGCCATCTCTCCAGCTCCAAGTATGTTTCTTTGGAAATGATACTGTGGAAACATTGGAGGTATGAAACAGCTGTTTCTGCTGTTGTGACAGGGTCTCATGTAGCCTGGGCTGGTCTCAAGCTTATGTAGCTGAGGATGACTTTGAACTTCTGATCCTCCTGCTTCTGCCTCTTAGCAGCACTGAGATTACAGATATGAACCACTATGCCTGGTTTATGTAGTAGTGGACATGTTAGGCAAGTGCTCTACCAACTGAGCCACATCTCTAGCCCAGCAGCTGTTTTATACACGTTACATGTTAACACCCGTGCATCTACAGTGGGCTCTCTGTTTCTGGAGATTAGGGACCCATGTCTAGTAGGTAATAGATTTGGTTATGTTCAAGGAGGTATCCTATCATAGCTCAAAAACTCTGAATCAGGAAGCTGAATTATTGAGTCTGAGTTCTGGCTTTCCCTCTTTCTGGCTGTGTGGATCAGAGAATATTAACCTTCTTGAAACCAGGGTGCTTACTAATCAACTGGGTATAATGACAATCAGTATCTGTCTGTGTCTTAGATGTCTATGAAGATCAATCAGGTACCATAAGACCTTGTAGACTGTGTAGAATCACCCATACCATGGCCTCCTATGACCTCTCCTACAGTACAATATGCAGGCACCCATAGCCATTGTTAGTAACGGGTGGCTGAGATTCTGCCCACGGATAACATTGACTCTTCTCTACTCTTCCTGGTATGTTCTCTGAGTTGGGAGCCAGGGGAGAAACAAACTCAGTCCCAGGAAACCTGCTGAGAACTGGACAATTTCCCAATCTCACTTCACCCAGAGCTGATTCAGTGGAAATGCTGGAGGGTGTAATGGGTGCAGGCCAGGGTTCCCCAGAGTCCGGCCAGTGCCCAACCACCGCGCCCTGTGTGGAGGGTGATTTCACTTCCTGGCTTGCATCTCAATGGACGGCTCTTTCTGAAAGGCCATTTTGTGGCTGGTTCTAGGAGTGCTTTATTCATGTTGGCTGAACTTCTTTTCCTTTTAGCTCAACATTAACCCTACTCGGTCCACTATGGTCCCAAAGAATCTGAGCCAGACAGTGGTGAGTGGAAACTGTGGACACTCCAGATTTGCAGCCAGGACAGCATCTTATTCAGTCATAGAGGCGATGGTAAGGGTGGAGCCAGGAGCCTATGGGGTCTTCAGAACTCTCTTCCTCTAGGCTTGGTTCCTTCCAAGACCTTTACTACACCATGGAGAGGAGGCTAGACAGGTGTTGGCTTCTGGTGTCAAGATCTGTCCTTGCCTTTTGTTTTGAGTAGCTTCAACCAAAAGCCTTGTTCTCTCTCGCTCGCTTGCTCACTCGCTCTCCTCTCTCTCTTCTTTCTCCTCCTTTCTTCTTTCTCTCTCTCTCTCTGTCTCTGTCTGTCTGTCTGTCTGTCTGTCTGTCTGTCTGTCTGCCTTTCTACAATTCACCTACTCCCCCCGTATGAGGCAAGACTCACGGATTTTCCTAAGAAGCAGATTGGAGGCTGAAAAACAAGGAACCAGTCTGCTTTCTTTCTTTGGCCTTGGCATGGCCAGTTGTGTCTTTGCCCTGAGCCAGGCCAGCACAAAACCAGGTCCAGCACACCACCAGGAATTTGAATGAGGCTCAAGCAACTCTTCTCTCCCTTCCTGGTCACCTCAGCATATATGTCTTGTCAGCCTGTGTCTAAACCTCTTGAGTAGTTCCAGCTGCTGGGCTCTCTGCCTGTGGACGCGGTGACATTTGGTTTCTGTTAAAACACAACAGATCAGTGTGTTCGTTCACCTGCTTCATTTTTTCCCTTCCTGCAAAAAACTGAGGCAGCCAAAACCTGGTGCTGCAGACCTGGAGACTTCCCATCCTGCCCCAGTGACTTCATAGCTTGGCCTGGCCTCTGCTGGGTCCTTCGAACCTCTTGATTTCCTCTATATTTCCAGCACTCAGCCAAAAAGAATGTGCAGTATGAAAAAAATGTGGACTACCCCCAATTGCAGACCCTCTGGAAAAAAAAAAAAACCTGGAGGGCTTTTAAATAAAAGAAATAATTACAACCTGCTGAGTGCCTTACAGAATCCTTGAAACTTGACCTTTTCCAAAATATCATTGTATTTCCTGTGCCTTCTGTACACTAAGCCTTCATGGATTTATGTGTCCAACACAGTCCTTGGGCTCCATATTTTTTTTAATCCAAAAGTCAGATTTGAAAAGCATATAAATACATCCTCTTGGCAGATAGAAACTCAAAAGGTGTTAAGTTAAAATGCAGCTGGAATGCTGTAGGCTGGCAGCTGTCAGAGGTGGTGGGCCACGTGGGATTTTTTTTTTTTTTTAATGAATGGGAGTTTGATTTTCCAGTGTGTTACTCAGCTGTGGATTTTCAGATGGGTGTGCCCTGCAGATGAGAATGGTCACATTCTAACTGGTGGGTGGAGCGTGGTTTAAGAGTCTGGAGAGTCATACATTCTGCCTTTAGAATTCTCTGTGTAAACATGGTTATAACTTGGAAAGAGCACGAGAAAGTGTTCTGTCCTGAAACTACCCATGATCGGTGATCAAGACTCTTGCTCGCCTAGCTCAAGAGAAAACAGAAACCTTCTGAAAGAGAAAGTCAGAGACAGACGCTTCCCCTGACTTCTTGGAAGAAATGACTCCAGGCCTGGACTCACTATGCTTGGGTGCCTGCTAAGGTCAAGAGGGGGCAGCAATGACAACATGAAGGAGGTATGATTGACTGGGTACAGAGACCTGCATAGACCACCTCAAATGGTGGCTATAAGATATCTTCCCCTCACTGGTTTTGAAAAATAATTCACATAATTTTCCATTTAATTTATTTCTATTTCTAGATCTCTGTGTGTGTGCGTGCGTGCGTGCGTGTGTGTGTGTGTGTGTGTGTGTGTGTGTGTATCAAGGCCAGAAGGTAACCTCTTTGTTGTTCCTCAGGAACTGTCCCTTTGATTTTTGAGATAGGGTCTCTCACTGGACTGGAGCTTGCCCGCCAGCAAGCTGCAGTAATCTGCCTGTCTCTGCCTCCCTAACTCTGAGATATAAGTGTGTATCATCAAGTTCATTTTTGTTGAAACATAAGGACTTGGGCTTGAACTCAGGACCTCGTGCTTGCCTGGCAAGCACTTTACTGAGCCTGAGCTGTCTCCACTGCACCAGTAGTTCAGACTTTTTTTTGGAGACAGGATCTCCCTGTAGCTCCTATAACTGGCCTATAACTCACTAGAGTAGAATAGGCTGATCTTTAGCTCAGAGATATCTGCCTGCCTCTGCCTCCTGAGTGCTGGGATTAAAGGCCTGTGACACCACACCAAGTTAGTGATTCAGATTTTTGAGAAATAATGTCAATTCCATGCTGTTTATTATGCACATTTTTAGTTAACCCTAAAGAATTAGGGTTTGATTGATGTCTACTGAGAATGAGTGGAATTCCATGTAGAATTACTCTGAACGAAATAGTAAGTACCAACTCACAGATTGATACTGGTTAGTGTCAACCCTGAGCACACTGTGAACTGGCTGCAGGCCCTCAGATCTGCTGCTCACTGATTTTCATCTCTTTCTCCCAACGGGAGGGACCCACTGTTAAAGTTTGACAGCATCTCATGCTGACAAGGACTGTGTTTTTAAAAAAAATCCATTGTGTGTGTGTGTGTGTGTGTGTGTGTGTGTGTGTGTGTGTGTGTGTGTGATGGTTTGAATGAAAAATTCCCCCCCCTAGGCTCTGTTTTTAAAAAAAATCCATTGTGTGTGTGTGTGTGTGTGTGTGTGTGTGTGTGTGTGTAGGGCATATACAGCAGTGTGTGGGTGCCCCTGCCAGTGTGTGCACATACAGAAGTCAGGGCAGGACATTAGGTGTCTTCCTCTGTTCCTCTCCATCTCATTCCCTTGTGGTAGTTAAGCTTCCTGGCCAGGTCATCTTCATCTGCCCATCTCCAGTGCCCAGTGCTGCGGTTGCAGGCACCTGTATGCATGTTAGCTTTTGCTGTGAGTTCTGGGGATTTGAACTCAGGTCCTCATGCCTACAGAGAAAGTGCTTTTACCCACTAAGTCATCTCCCAGGATGCTAAATTCTCTTGCTTAGACTAAGACTTACTCATGGCTCTCATCCCTAAGAAACCAATAAAGTAATTTCTGTTAGGAGAGAAGAGCTAAATATGGCCCATCTCTCAGATAACATCAATGTTTAAGACCCCAAAGGAGAGTAAAAATAAAAAGCTGGAATCCTTGGATTCAAGGCAAGTTGGAGAGGGAGATATTTTTAATTGGGAGACGTGATGTTCAGCACTTCTTACCCACTGGCTTCAAAGAAGCATTGGAATAGTCCCTCAGAGATGAAGTAAGGATAACTGTGGTACAGGGTTGAGTGGATGGAAGTAGACCAAAAATAAAGGGGTAAGTTTTTAAAAAATGCTGTTTCCTTAACCTTGACCTGTTAAGTACAGAAATACATACTTTTTCCCCTGCAGTACTGTGCATGTAACCTGGAGCCCTGTGTATACCGGATAAGGCCTCTACCATTGAGCTCCATCACTAGCTGCTACAAATATTTTACTATAGAAAGAAAGAAAAATGTTGAAAATGTCTCAACTCAGTCACTTGCCAGAGACACTTTATAAACGCCCTCTGGTTTGGATGGTCTCCACCATCTTGGGATATTGGAATAGGTGAGGGCTTAGCCTGTGGGTCATAGAATGACACTGCACATGGGAAGATGTGGTCTTGGACACACAGTAGGTGACTCCTTGAGGACATGCTAGGAGACACAGAGCAGAATCTGCAAATAGGCCATAGTGGGCTCTTGAAACACTTGCCCTAGACTCCCAGGGAAGTCCCATATCAAGTAAGCAGAATCTTTCTTGTTTCGAGCTTTTCCTTTAGGGATCTTATTCTTTGTAAAGCAACTCAGGAAGAGAAAAAAATAATGCTTCTTTGTTTCGAGGACTTGGCCTTTTGTTTTATAATTAATATAGATTCCCACCCTATGCATAAATTTTTAAAGCATCATTTATATTGCATCGTCCACTTGTTAAAGTTTAAAATGTTGCAAATAGCCAAGAGTCTATGCTTTCCTTACAAGCAAACTTGCTCACCCGATGGTCTTAATCTCTGAAAAACAGTAGCACAAGTGAACTTCTGGGTCAGCTTTGTGTTAGCTGCATAGTCCTTGCCACTATGAGGTGAAATGAAAGCATCTGCTTTTGAGTCAAAGTCAAAGCCTGGCTTAAAGTATTTTAGGCGTGTATATATAAGTGGTGAGCTGCAATGCGGTGTGCTCACCTTTATGATACAGAATGCATGGAAAATGGATAGAAAGATGTTCCTAATCCAATGTGGGTACAATTATCAAAACTTGAACAACTCTGATCAGAAATCCCCAAATTAAAAGACTTAGAAATCTAAAACTTTCTGACCACTGATATGACACCCAAAAGCTTTGAGGTTTTGGTACATTTTGGATTTTGAATTTTCAGATTAGGGTAAAGTCCCTACAAATAGTCCCAAATCCAAAAAAAACTCTGAAGGCTGAAACATTGTATTTCAGATCAAGGATGCTGGACTAAAGGCTCTTAAAGGCAGGAGGATGTTTAAGTTGTCCTCAGACATAGGGATTGTTTTATTCAAGGGAATTAGTCTACAGGTGAGACAATTTGCTCCCCTCCAAAACTCGTATGTTAATAATGAGGTCCCTCTTCATGTAGTTGTTGGATGTGATTCTTTGGTTTATATGTCAGCCTATGAGTGGAGTGTGCAGGTGGCCTCTTGGTTGGCTTGTCTTAAGCCTTATTCCTATGTGTGATGTTAGCTTTAATAGCCAACTCAACACAGCCTAGAGTAACCAGGGAAGCAAGTCTCAATGGGGGCTTATCTACGTTGAGTTGGCCTGTGGACATGTCTGTGGGGGAATGTCTTAATTATGTTAATTGATATGGGATGACTCAGCCCAGTTTGGGTAGCACCATTCCCTAAGCAGGTAGCACCATTCCCTGAACCATATGGGTGGCGAAACGGAGCTGGTCATAAGCAAACGAGCCAGCAAGCATGCATGCGTTCATCTCTCTGTGTTCTTGACTGTAGATGTGATGTGACCAGCTGTGTGAAGTTCCTGCCTTCACTTCCCCACAATGATGGACTGTAAACTGGACTTATAAGCTGAAATAAATCCCTTTCTTCCGGAAGTTGCTTTTTGTCAGAGTTTTATTACAAGAATGGAAATGAAACTAAAGCACTATAATTGGGCTCCTGACCCTTAGACTAAGCTTGCTCCAGAAACCGAGCCAGGTTCAATGATTCTGTATTGAGGCCTCTGAAGGACTTAACTTGTTTTTTTAGCCTTGGCTCCAGTCGCCTCAGCATGGTCTCAGGCCATAAGGATGTCTGAGCGTTGCGGGGCTGTGATCTAGGACGCAGTTGGGGAAGTTGGGGCAGATTTCGTAACCACTCCATGAGTGCAGGAAGGTTAGAGGACTAGTTTAACTTCTAGAACATTTTACAAGAGGAGGTGCCTGCATTCTCCAGCACAAAGGAACTCCAGCTAACTGCTAAAAAGATATTCCCGGGTGACTTTAGCCAAGGTCTAAGCAGTTGTCAATGTTCCATGGTTTTGTTTGTTCGTTTTTGAGATATGGTCTTACCAGATGCCCTGGCAGTCTTGGCACTCACTAAATAGCCCAGACTGGTAATGAACTCATGACAATCTTCTTGCCTCAGCCTTGAGTACTGTGATTACAGGTGCGCATCACCACACCTAGCTTAGTTAATCTTTAGTTGTAGGGGTTGGGGCTGTAGCTCAGTGGTGGAAAACTTGTCTAGCATGTGCAAAGCCTCAGGTTGGATCCTCAGGACTGGAAAAAGAAAAATATTAAACTTTAGTAAACATAAGTATCACCCAGAGAGGGACTGGAGAGATTGTTCTGTGGTTAAGAGCACTGGCTGCTCTTGCAGAGGACCCAGGTTCAGTTCTCAGCACCCAGGTGGTGGCTAAGAACCATCTGTAACCACAGTTCCAGGGCATCCGATGCCCTCTTCTGGCCTCTGTTGGCATTGCATTCACATGGTGCGCTTGCATACATGTAGGCAAAATATTCATATACATAAAATAAAATAAATCAAAAATATTTTAAAGAATCTCCCATGATGCTTGTTAAAATGCACATTCCTATAGCTAACTTTGATGGATTTTGACTTAGAAGCTGTGGGGTGTAGTTCAGAGTTCCTGAACTTTTCTCTCTCCATGATTCTTTCTACTGGGTACAATTCTGAAAACCATTGCTCAAGATATTCACTGCATCCCTATGTGAATTATAAGTTTCATTTTCATCTAGACCATTTCTGTTATAAAATATTTGCTGTCATTAAAAACTTGAGTGTATTTCCTATCTTGTTTGCTCCATTAATTCTTCTAGTAAATTACATCTATAAAACATGGATGTAAAAGTTAAAGTAGCCTGATCCAGATTGAATTGCCACAAATTGCCATAAGCAGCAGCGAAATGTGAATTAATGAGCTCTCCGTGAATGCTTGCTTTTTCTAACTAATATTCTGTGATGGAGAGTTATGAAATATAGTCAAATATTGAACTCTTTTAGCTGTTTCAGAGGTTAATTTTAAGGCTATTTCTGTACTAGTTAAGAAAGGGAAAATAGAGTTCATAACCAATTTTAGTAACCTTTGTAGGCCGAATTTTGCGGGATAAGGCAGAGGTAGACTGCAT